GTAAGACATACAGTTCGCACATACACACACAAAAAAAAAAAAATATATACATACATATACATATATGTGTATATATACGTATATATACAAAAAACAAAAAAACAAAAACATACACATGCAATACCCCTGCACAAATATATAAATAAATAAAAACACACACAAACACTTAATATATTATACACACGAAAAAGGTAAAACACAAACACACAAAGAAAAACACACGCAACAATTATATCATCAAAATAACAATAACATCATATAACAACATAACAACCCCTCTCCCACAGATTTAAGCAAAAAAGCAAAAAAAAAAAAAAAAAAAAAAAAAAAAGTCAACGGCAACAAATAACGAAGAAAACAAAGAAAAACAAAAACATTTACAAATCTGAAAAACAACTCAACATGATATTGAAAAGCAGAATAAAAGAAAACATAATGAATTCAAAATACTGCATTTAAAGATGGTAAAAACACTTCAACATACTTCAACATAAAGAAAAGATAAAAACAAAACAAAAAGACCCCCCAAAAATGTAGAAAAAAAAGGCTCTCAACAACATACGCAACATAAAATAAGAAAGAGAAAACACCACATACTCAACATACAACAAAACGACAACAACAACAAAAAATCAGTGAACATTCTCACCATAAAACAACAAAACAAACACACAAACAAAACAGCACCAAAAAAAACACCGTCCGAGCGTTCCAATAACGACCCATACCCTCCATCATTCGTTAAATTCAAAGTCTCTCGAAAGCCCTGGTTGCCCGCGAGCCGACAGTCATGTGGTCGGGCTGCGGGAACTATGTTGAAGCATTCATTCTCTATGTGGTATTGAGGGCTGGAGGTCCATCAAAACGGCTTTGCTTTTGGTGGCTTTGTTTTCGTTTTTCTTTTTTGGTTGGGGGGGGGGGGGGAGGGGGTTATATGGGTGAGTGGTTGGGTGAATAATTGGTATATGGTTAAAATTTTGGGTGAATGGTTGGTGTGTGGTTGGAAATTTGGGTGAGTGGGTGGTTTAGTGATGTTGAGTGGAGTGGTGATTGGTTAAAAGGTTGGGTGAGTGGGGTTATTTAGATCGAGTCGGTTGGGTGAGTGGTTCGTGTCTGGTTAAAAGGTTTGGGTGAGTAGGCGGTTTGGCTGGGTTTGAGTGAGTGTGGTGAATGGATGTGTGTATGGTTTAAAAGGTTGGTGTGATTGGGTGGATGAAGGTAAGGTTTTGTTTTGTGGGTGAGTAAAGTGGGTGATTTTTTAAAAGGTTGGGGGAGTGGGGAATTCAGATCGAGTGGTTGGGTGAGTGGTTCGTGTGTATGGTTAAAAGGTTGGGTGAGTGGGTGATTTGATTGGGCTCAGTGCAGTAGGTGAACGGTTTGTGGGTAATGGGTAAAAGGTTGGTGGAGTAGTGGTTTGGTGAGTGAGTGGGGGGTTAAATGGATGTGTGTATGGTTAAAAGAATGGGTTTTATATTGGGTGGATGAAGGTTTAAGGTTTGGTTTGGTTTGAGTAAGTGGGGGTGATTGTTTAAAAGGTTGGGTGAGTGGAGTGGTTTAGTTGATGGTTGAGTGAAGTGGTGATTGGTTAAAAGATTGGGTGAGAGGGTGGTTGGTTTGGGTGAGTGGGTGGATGAAGAGCTAGGTTCGGTTGAGTAAGTAGCTGATTGGTTAAAAGATTGGGTGAGTGGGTGATCTGGAACGAGTGGTTGGGTGGTTGATCTATTGGATGATTAGGTGGTTCAGCGGTTGGGTGAATGATCAAACGGTTTGGATGATTCGATCTGGTTGGGTGGTTGAGTGGCTCGGTGGTTGGGTGAATGGTGAAATGATTGGGTGTGTCGTAAATTGGTTGAGTGGTTGAGTTGGATGACTGGTTGTTTGGTTGGGTGAGTTTTGGTTTAGTTAGTTGGGTGGTTTTGATGTCGTTTTGGTTTAGTTAGAGAGAGAGAGAGAGAGAGAGAGAGAGAGAGAAAGAGAGAGAGAGAGAGAGAGAGAGAGAGAGAGAGAGAGAGAGAGAGAGAGAGAGAGAGGGAGAGGAGAGTCAAACATTTAGAAAGACAGAGAGAGGATATTGAGAGAGGGAGGAGAGAGAGAGAGAGAGACGGGCACATTCAGAAAAGACAGAGAGAGAGAGACTGAGGAAAGGGAGAGAGAGAGAGAGAGAGAGAGGTTTGGGTTTTTGGTTGGTTAGGTTAAGTTGGTCGGTTGGATAGACGAGTGGGTGACTGGATTGACAAGTGGTTGATTGGATAGGGTTGGATGAAGGATGTCGTTGGGTGAAGTGACTGGGTGAGCGGTTTGGTTTGGTTGGTCGGTTGATTTGTTTGAGTTGCTTGATTGGTGAACTGGTTGGCTGAGAGGTTGATTGGATTGGATTTGGTTGAGTGGCTGCTTGGCTGAGTGGTTGGTTTGTTAGTTGAATGGTTGGTATCGTTTGGGTTGATTTTGATTGTTTGGTTGGTTTTGTTCGATTGATTGGCTTTGATTGATTTAGATTGGTTGATTTTCTTTGGTTGATTTTGCTTGGTTGTTTGGTTGGTTGATTTTGTTTGTTTGGTTGTCTTTGGTTGATTTAGATCGGTTGATATTGCTTGGTTGTTTGATTGGTTGATTTTGTGTGTTTGATTGTCTCTGGTTAATTTTCTTTGTTTGATTTAGATCGGTTGATATTGCTTGGTTGATTTTGATTGGTTAGGTTAGATCTTTTTTGGTTGATAAGTTGGTTGGATGAGGTTGCTTTGAGTGGTTGATTTAGTTGTTTACTTGTTTTGTTTGCCTTTTTATATTGACTTATTTGAATACTTCTGCTTTTGTTTACTCATTTGATTTCAGTTGGTCGGTCAAACACCCTGGCTTTTATTGGTATTAATGTTGTCTTCTTTTATTAGTACTGAATTTCGATTTATTTTTCATTTATCTATTAATCTGTTTGTTTACTTATTTGTTAATTCATTTTCACGTATATGTTACTGCGTCTTTATTCGCTTTTGGCTATTTATCATTCATTTCAGTTGATTTCCTATTCCATCAAAGATCATTTTATTTTAGAGAGAGAGAGAGAGAGAGAGAGAGAGAGAGAGAGAGAGAGAGAGAGAGAGAGAGAGAGACAGACATTCAGAAAGACAGAGAGAGACTCAGAAGAGAGAAGAGAGAGAGAGGGAGAGACAGAGAGAAAGTGAGAGAGAGACGGAGAGAGGAGAGAGAGAGAGAGAGAGAGGAGAGCGAGAGAGAGAGACAGACAGACAAGTCAGAAAGAGAGAGAGAGAGAATAAAGACAGAAGAGAAGAAGAGAGAGCAAACAACAGACAGACAGACAGAGAGAACAAACAGCAGAGAGAAAGCGCCGGAAAAAAACAAAAGAGAGACGAGCGCGCGAACGCCCGGCCGCAATGCGTACTGGCCACTGTATAGCGGTTATTGTGAATTAGATTGTGAAATTGCTAATATTCCCTTTTACCATGACAGCGATTTGTATGGTGATGGTCGGTGCACTCATCAAAGGGGAAATCTATGAGGGATTTTTAACAACCTTCTCGGATTTTTAGGCATCTTCTCATGGTGGTTATATAGTGAAGGTAATAATAATGATAATGATGATAATAACAGTAATAATAATAAAATCTATGAGGGTTTTTTTAACAACCTTCTCGGATTTTTAAGCATCTTCTCAAGGTAATAATAATGATAATGATGATAATAACAGTAATAATAATAAAATCTATGAGGGTTTTTTTAACAACCTTCTCGGATTTTTAGGCATCTTCTCATGGTGGTTATATAATGAAGGTAATAACGCCAATGATAATGATAATAAATAACAATTTTTGGAGGGTGACCGATTCAGAGCATGCTATCTCCTTTTGTGGTATATCACGGTTTATTCCTCATTATTTTGGGTATGATTCTCCCGTATAAAGATATGATGAGTTACGTCGCTGGAGTATTCATACAATGACATTATGGTAATAGTCCCCATGGAGATTATATTTGCATATGAGAGTAAGCCAATGAAGCGATTCACGGTGTTTGGATAAAAATTCTATCGACCTTAACAAAGGCTTAATGTATATGGTGACGGTATAGTGACGTGTAGGGTGACAGTGCGCTCGAGAGGGACTTATCCCGCCGCTAATACTCGACATAATGTGCAGCTTCATCGCCAAATACAAATGCATTATGATGACATCGAGAATTTATTCAATGGTCTGTTTCGTCATACTGTGTGTTTGTTTGTTTGTTTGTTATTTTAATTCTACATGATTTTGTGGATTGATTTTTGTTTTTGTTTTTTAGATGGAGAGACAGAGAGAGAAGGTGAGAAAGAGAGAGAAGATGGATGGAGGAGAAGAGATAGATAGATAGATAGAGAGAGGAGAAAGAGAAAGAGAGGGAGGGAGGGAGATAAGGAGGAGAGAGAGAGAGCGAAGAAATGAGGGAATCAACCGCGAGAGAGATAAAGAAAAAATGAAAAGAGAGAGAATAAAACAACTGGATGAATGGATGAAAAGATAGAGAGAAACATGAAGAGAAGAAAGAGAGAAAAAGAAGAAAAGGGTGAAGAGAAAGAGACAGGAGAACAGAGACATAGAGAGACGAGAAAGAGATAATAGATAGACAAAGGCAAACAGACACACAGACAACACGCAAGAGAGAACAGAACGCCAGAAGAAGAGGGCGAGGCGGAAGTCGTGTAGAGGCTGCAAACAGAGCGTGCAATATGCTGCACTCTGCACAAACCCCGGCGCGCAACAAAGCCTTTTGCCTGTGGGAGAGAACCTTTCATATATTGTTTCAGCCTCCAAACCCATGTCTCTTTCCGTCCGCCTCCCCACCCACGCCAAAACATGCTTTGCCCCCGTATCCCCTTACTCTATTGAGAACTCTTCTTTTTAACCCAAACGAGTGAATTAACCAGATTTTTTTTTCTTTCTTTTTTACATATTTTCTTCCTATTGTTTGTAATATATTCTTTTATTTTATTAATTCTGTGTCTTTTTTTG